ATTCCGGATGAATGAGAAATTACGGTCTAAAGTTGTATAGAAAAGAGGATACACGGGCTGAAATATGACTATCTCTATCGCTCACGGCTCGCCTATCGCTCGAGCGAGAGGCCGCTTACAGGCTAGAGAGAGAGACTCTAATGAAAAGATGTCACTGTCCCTCGAACGAGAGGCCAACAATAGGCTAACGACAGTAAATACTGTGACATTTGGCAAAAGTTGCTGAGTTTACAGCGTGGCATTTCACTCACAACATTTCCTCTTCTATATAAAGGACCCTTTAGACGTTCATTATGCATCCAATATCATACTTGAATTGAGCATTTCATATATCTCTTGCAAAATCATTTCCAAAACCATTCAAAAGCCATTTTCTTCTTGTAGAGAGAAACTTCGTCGAAAGTTTGCTGTAACTTTTGGTTTGAAGTGCTTCTAACACAAGTTGAATCCGTTGTATCTTGGAGACAAGTGCCGTGAATTGCGAGCACCGTTGCAAGACAATTTTGTCTTAAAGAAATAGTGTAATTCCCTTGCCTCGGATTATTCTCTTCTTCTTCTTCTTCTTCCCTTCTTGGTTTTATTTTTTGGTTTTCGTTTGTAGTTTACATACTATATTTCCAACTCATATTTATAGTGTTTAATCACACTCCTGCGAATTAAACTTTGTTCTTGTAGGTTCTATAATTTAACAATCATTTCACCGCACATACATAAAGCCCGCTCCAACAAATGTCATACGAGAATGGTTGAGCTATACTCTGGTCAACGGTTTCCTAATCATGTGAAGCCGCTAAATTATAAAAGGCTTCAAGTGGTCGCCTATTTATTGATTAGTTAGTAGTTTGAAGTGGGGATGTTAATGTCAAAAACATTCTATCTCTGATTAAACAGTGCGAGCTTAATGTTAATGTTATCAAAGAAAATCAAAGGTATCTTAAAATGGTGCTTTTGTTTCGAAGTTTCTTGTGTTCATGAGCCTATTTTCGCTCTTGATACAATGTTATAGATCTACAATTTCCATTTTTCTTTTTGGGGATGAACTTGAACTTCCATTATTCCAGGGTAAGAATCTTTCTTCTTGAAATTCATGTATTTTCCTGTGTTAACTTGTTTTCTCTCCAGCTTGATGCTCAATAAATACTACATCGTTCGTGTTTTTCCCGACAACTTTTCATTTCTGCTGATGGTTGTTCCCCGAGAATTGAGGCAGCACATTAATTCTCCTAAATATTTCTTTTCATCCAGTTATTACTGTGAAGATGAAATACTGAATGTCCCCAACTTGAAAGATAATTCAGAACAAGATATTGCACTAGACTTGGCTTTACGGCTTCATTACAAGACACTTGAAACAGGAAAATATACGTGTTGCAAGGGTGAAGGGCGAGCTTGCACTGGAGTAAGGCAAATATCGATTACTCCTAGGGATTGATCCAGTTGTTTCTTCTCAGATTAGGCCGGTGGTGTATAACTCTAGATCGTACGTGGCTTCTCTTGTGCACGTGTTGGAGCCGAACAAAGCCACAATAGAAATCACAGAAGCACAAACATTGATTAGTACTGCAGACAAGAATTTAGCTTCCCAAACTTCCGAAGCTATATGTAGCATTTTGGATTGCTTTTGACCAGTGGCTTTTGCATGTAGAATACAGACTATGCCTAGAAAAGCGTTTTCATCCATTCATTTGAAATTATATTAGGCTTCAAGTGAGTCCATTGATGGTTTTGAGTTATACAGAAACCACTTTCTTTTTACCATTTTGTTTTAAGGATTAAATAGATGACATGTTTGATGATAGTAAATCACCAATGAAGTCAGCACGGAAAGCTTCCAGTGAGCCGAATGTGATCAAGCGTTCTCTTTAAGCCTACTTAAGCACAGCCTTATCGCCTTCTCTGAAACCATCTCCATAAGCTGTTGAAGTGTCCGACTCAATCTGATGTTTGAAGAACTCACCGAGTTCTTTCTCAAATTGAGATCGTTTGCCCTTCTTCGAGGAACTAGGGGTGTCCAAAAGTCCTGAACCGAACCGGACCGAACCGAACCCGAACCGAACCGAGCGGTTCTTCATAAATTACATACCCGAACGGGTACCCGAATCGAGAACCGACGGGTTTGGGTCGGGTCTCGGGTCTNTATATTTCTTTCCTCACTTGGGTGTGTAAAAACAAATGAATTAAACCTCTATTTATAGCCACCGGGAGATGAAGATGGGAAGAGATTTTTCAACAATTCACAATTACTTTGGTGGTTGGTTGCTGCAGATTGGGTGGTTGGCTGTTGAAGAAATTTCTTCCAAATTGATGAAGTAAGAAATTGGTGGCTGGATGGTTGAAANTGGACCCGACGGGTCCATTTATTAAATACCCGAAAGTTTTGGGTCGGTTCGGGTATCTTCAGAACCGAACCGAACCGACCCACGGACAGCCCTACGAGGAACTAGATGATGATGAAGCTGCTGACGAGGTGGAGGAAGATGATGATGAAGTAGAAGCTGTATTACTACAAGAACCAGCAATAATTTCAGAATCTAGCCACATGAATCTAGCCACATATGAGCTTACACCTGGCAAATACCTTCTTCCACTTCTGGGCTTAGATTTAGGCAACCTGCAAAAGCGTCGGTAGTTCAAGCAACACACTGCGCTTATGGTGTATTTGCTATTGAGGATTGGATAGCACTAGACAATTTCAAGGAAGAAAACAAACGTGCACTTGAGTGAGTTACAAGGGAAGCAACATAAATAAGATGAAAATCACCTAAGTCGCAGCATATAAATTGGTAATAAATTGAAATCCCAAAGAAAATAGTGCTCCTTTATATATAGTGACATGAAAAACGTTAAAAAGTTGTGCAAGCAAATACTTAAACACCATATCGCCTGCATTTTAGTTCAAAAGGTTCCAATGCAATCAATTGATTACAACAAAAATTCAGTAAAAAAGAAAAAAGAAAAGAAATCGGACATGGTAGATAG